CCCGCAGGAATTGTCTCAATATAGTTATACGAAGCAGAAACTGTCAACTCTGGTAACCCACGAAACCATCTACTATCCCACTCTTTCAACTTATTATGATGAATTACAAAATTTCGTAAACTTGTCATACCATCTAAAGCTCCATTTGCAACCACAGAAATCTCGTTGTGGCTCAAATCCAGAAATTCGATTTTAGAACCGTTAAAAACCCCTTCGGGAACTTCCTTGATTCTCAAGTATCGAGACAGAATTATTATTTAAATTTAGTTTAATTATGTCTTCGTTATCAAAAACCTCTGAATCTAGTCTTTGAATGTGGTTGTTCGATAATAATTCCAAACTGATCCCCAATTCGTCCACGGTATGTAAGCTTGCAAAAACTCCGGGTTCTAGTCGGGAAATGTCATTTCCGTCCAAAATTAAATACCGAACAAACACATTCTGAAACACCCCTCTTCGGATCTCGGTTAATTTGTTTTCTTGAAGATTCAGATCTAACCTAATCGACAGGTTTTGGAAAGTTCCTGGTTCCAGAACCGAAATGGAATTTCTCATGAATGATAACCTCGAAGGGGCCAAGTTGTCTACGTGATCACAGTGTGTAGACGCGAAAACTGACGCAAAATATACGAAAATAATTTTATTAGAAATGCACTTCACGATTGTTGAAAGTTTTGTGAATGTCACGCGAAACAACTCATTTATTTAAAAATAAAACCGATATGGTAATCGGGTTATCACTAAAGAGCGGATTCTAAAGCAAAGACATGAAAGTTGTATATAAATATGTGTATCTAAAAAAAATCCGTTGAAATAAACTTGTTTTTGTTCTAAAATCTGAATTTTCTATACCCCTAAGCACAAAGGTTCGGAGGAATTCCGTTAGCAAAATGCTGACATACCTCCTTCTTCTATCGACAATATGTATCTAAATTATATGTCTTCCGCGGAATTTATTAGAAATGATCATCTATACAGTGATATATGCCTTTTAGGCGACTTTCATTGTAGAATGACGTATCCCAAACTCTTTTTGCGAAATTTTGTTACGGTATTTTTTTGCCTTATAATAGGTATGTATTTATTTTTATAGATGAATATTTTTTCTTTTTGTTATATCTGAGTTCTATCTTTTTTAAATTAACTTTTATTTTTCTCCGCATGTATATTATTAGAAATTGCCTGTTATATACGATGTATTTCGGCAATAAAGGTTATATTATTATTATTAGAGACTATTGGTCTGACCTTAAATAATATAAAAACGTCGTAACATACAAAAGGAAACATTTTTCTGCTGAAAATTTAGAAAAATATTTAATTTGTTATGCAAATTTTAACGAAGATTAGGATGGCTGAGTATGTAAAATACCTAATAAAATAAATGTAGATTTTGGCTTTTTTTAGCATAAAAACCGCTCTTTATAATTTAATTTTAAACATTTTTGATTGTACAAACGACACAAACTCGAAGTTAATTCGTCGTAATTGCGACACATCAAACTTTGAACCAATCAGAACGCACCACGTCTGACATCACCCTCATTCATAACCTACTTTATTTCAATATCAAAATCAAATAAAACGCCAGTTATTTCGTAGCCGTGTGTTCTTGAACAAGCAACCCGTCACTCCATCAATCTAAGTAACGTATAGTCGCTAAAATATTAATAAATTTTCCAACATGTTTCCTTTATTATATACTTACAAAATTTTTAATTTTATATTTAAGTATGGTAATTAAACTCGTACCCCTCTCGTCCCGTTTTCCCGCATCCCCCCCGAAATCGTTTTTCCATCTAATAACGAAACTCCATTAAAAACCGTCCAACTCTAACGAATCCCCTTTTAATGCACCGACCGACAATTAAAACTTTGAATTTGTCCCGAAGGAAGTTAAAAAGCGCCACCACCTTTGATCATCCCGCGCTGACGGCGGATATCCGCCGACTTTGGGCGAACTTGCCTGGCGCCTTTATAAAAGCAATAAAAACGAGCACGAGATACCTGTCGTCCCAGCTCACAACAAGTGGCGAACAAAACCCGCCCCTGTATCCCTGTAAGGTAACTAATGCGAAGGGGACGAGTGTTCCGGAATTAATTCCAAACTCGGGCTGCAAATCCGGCCAGGCCGGATTTGGGGGGATTATGGAACGGATGGGCAGCAAAAGAAGGTTTTTTGGGAATTAGGAGGTGACGTTGTTGGGAAGGCGGAAATGGTTATGGTCGTGCTAACGACTGGAGCTGGGTTTCCGGAATTCTTACGTAAGTTTCGAGATGATCCAGTTCTGACGGACTTTTAACAATAAGATCATAAAATTTTCTAGTGTAATGTGGTATCTTAAATACCGTGTGTTCATTAACTATTTAAATCAATTTACAAACGAAGCTTAGCTCTTGTTTGTCGAAAACTAGAAAAACTAGTGAAAGACAATAACTTCTGCTGATTTGTGAATAAAGTTACTTAAAGAGAAAACAAAGTCAAAGAAACTGTTGGAAATGGTATCCATTCTCCTGTATACATAAATTGACACGTCTTTTCATGTTATCAAACACATTTTGTAGTGTAGCAGGAGTAATGAGAGGACACTCTTCGGTAATTCTGTCTTCCAGTTCTTCTATGGTGTGAATGGGAGTTTTAAAAATAGTGTTTTTGAAAATCTTAAAACTATTTTTGATATATCTAAAGCTTTTGATATTCTAGATCACAAATTAATGTTAACAAAACTACGTAAGTATGGAATAAATGAGATTCCTTATGATTGACTGTCGTCCTACTTAAAAAATAGATCGCAGATAGTTAAATGGGTATTTTCTGGTCAAACTTATACCCAAATGCGGCTACTTTGTCAACGGGAGTTGCTCAAGGTAGTATCCTAGGGCCCTTACTTTTCACTTTATTTATAAATGATATTCCGGTTAGTATACCCAATAGTGATCAATTCCTCTTTGCAGATGATCTCCCGTTTCCATCCGTCTGTCTGTCGGGTGTTCGTAGCCATTTTTATTAGACACGTATTCTCAAAGTTTTTTCAAAATGACCTAGTCCATAAACATAGAATCGAAATAAATTGTTAGTTTTCGAGCAAAATATCATTTTCTATTCAAAACCCATAATACATTGTGTTCAAAGAGAGTTCAAAATTAAGGAAGCAAAAGTGAGTGCTCACATAATTTTTGACTTGGTCACTTTTTTATTATCTATGTCTATGACGTCATAACAAATTTTTATTGATGGTCGTGGGTGCCAATTGTCTTTTTCTTTTAATGTGAAACCTTCTCGAGGGTCCCAACTATTTTTTTTTTGTGTAAAACCTTCTCGGTGGTCCCAAATGTATTTTTTCCACGATATGAAACCTTCTCAGGGGTTCCAATTGTCTGTTTCAAAAATGTAAAACCTTCTCAAGGCTCCAAATGTCTTTTTTTAATACGAAACCTTCTCGGGGGTCCCAAATGTGTTTTTTAAAAATGTAGAACCTTCTCTGGAGCACCAAATATCTTTTTTAAAAATGTAAAACCTTCTCGGGGGCTCCAAATTAATGTCTTTTTTAATATGAAACCTTCTCGGGGGTCCCAACCGTGTTTTTTATAAATGTTAAACCTTCTCTGGGACACCAAATGTCTTTTTTGAAGAATGTGAAACCTTCTCGGGGGTCCCAATTGTCTTTTTCTTTTACTGTGAAACCTTCTCGAGGGTCGCAACTATTTTTTTTGTGTAAAACCTTCTCGGTGGTCCCAAATGTATTTTTTCCACGATATGAAACCTTCTCAGGGGTTCCAATTGTCTGTTTCAAAAATGTAAAACCTTCTCGAGGCTCCAAATGTCTTTTTTTAATACGAAACCTTCTCGGGGGTCCCAAATGTGTTTTTTAAAAATGTAGAACCTTCTCTGGGGCACCAAATATCTTTTTTAAAAATGTAAAACCTTCTCGGGGGCTCCAAATTAATGTCTTTTTTAATATGAAACCTTCTCGGGGGTCCCAACCGTGTTTTTTATAAATGTTAAACCTTCTCTGGGACACCAAATGCCTTTTTTGAAGAATGTGAAACCTTCTCGGGGGTCCCAATTGTCTTTTTCTTTTAATGTGAAACCTTCTCGAGGGTCCCAACTGTCTTCTTTTAAAGGAGGCGAACCTTCTCGAGGGTCCCAAGTCTATTTTTTTAAGAAGGTGAAACCTTTTTTTTCTATTATATTGTTTTTACTCCTTATCGAGTAAATAACCTTTATAGGAAAAAGTAAAATTCCGCAAAATAAAATTTTATAATTTTTCTGGGAAGTAGTATTTGTTGGACTGTATTTCAGAAGCGAGAGAAGTTCTCTCGAAATAATTTTCAACCAATTTTTTTTAAGAATATTTACATCAGATAAAAACTAACTTCAAATTCATTAAAAGTTTATCCAGAACTTTTAAAAAGTTGTTGACACCAAACTGCATTGTTTATGTTTGCCTCATTTTGCTATTGTTTGTAAAATCTTATCACAAATCACCAAAACTGTGTCATATTTTAAACTGTGTCATATTTGGCATGTAATTTAGAGTTCCAAATTAATTTCAAACCCACTTGGTGCTTTAAACGCTGATAAGTGATAACTAAGCAACATATTCAACACAAAACAATCAAACTTTTATAGTGGCATAAATTAAAAAAATTCCGCAACACGTAAACACTCATCGCTAATCGTTTTACCGAAATTGTAAATTATCGTCCAAACACCCGCTAATCACCCTAAACCCACAACAAACCTCAACCATAAACAAATCTCCACACAACAAAGAAACTACTTAGGTGCCTCCGACCGTAAAATTACAATCTTTTATTTATCACCTAACTGTAAACCCGTCTCACCGCGTTCACTGCCCCCTAACCCCCATTTCGCGCCGCCACACACCGCCCCTGCCGAAAATCGCCGCCGCTGTCGCCTCGTGTGACAAAAACAAACAGCGCGCTGTGACCTTCCCCCACTCCGCCGCTGATTCATCAAATTTTATAAACCAGTCCGATTTCCAGCCAGGCAGAATAATCAAGTCGGCTATTTTCGCTGCGTCGTGCACAATCATGTGACGCGATCAATGTAACAATGTGCAGCGAACGCGTCGGGACGCATCAACATGTCAAGCGTAAGTAGAATTAATAGTAGGGGGAGTTTCTAATCACTGCCCCCAGGCGTCCAGTTCCGACGAGTCGCCGCTGCGCTTCCACCCCAGGAGCTTGCAGAACATGAAGGTCACCCATGACGGTACCATCGCGCGCCGCCAAAACACCAGTTTCTTCACCCGGGGGTTGGTATTCGGGACGCGACCCATCACACAAGGGGAGAAGATCACGTTCAAGCTCATGGAAGTGGCAGAGAATTTGGGGGGGTTCGTGTACGTGGGGTTCACATCCAGAGACCCGGACACTCAAGTGGGGGTGTCGTGCCAGAAAATCGCCAGAGAGTCGGGGTACTGGACGTGGTTTTTCCCGAAGGAGTTGTGCACGCAGGGGCGGAGCTTGTTCTATTACGTGAACAACGACGGGGAGGTGCGCTACGGTGTGGATGATTGTGAAAAGGGGAAGTTCCCGGGTGCGGTCCGCCCCTTGCAGCCGCTGTGGCCACTCTTCGACATCTTCGGCAACTCTAGCTCCATCCGTCTGGTGCAAGCCCCGCCTTCTAACAAATCCACTACCAATCGAAGAACAGTGCCGCTTTCGTTGCACTCCACCCACAGCCGCAGCCTCCGCGTCACCAAAAACGTGTCGCAGCGGTTGGACAAGGGTTACACACAAGGGTACGTCTTCTCCGAGCGCCCAATCAAACCCAACGAGGGCGTGCTCATCCAAATCTCGCCCAGTCAGCCCGGGCCACGTTTCCAGGGGTTCGTGCATTTGGGTGTGACTTCCTGCGACCCCGCCCAGCTCCCTCGCGACGACCTCCCCGACAACGTCAACCACTTGGTGGACCGGCCCGAGTACTGGGTGCTCATTTGTGACTTCTCCAAACTGAACTGCGGCGACGAAATCGGATTGACCTTGACCAAGAGCGGGCAGATCAGTTTTCATTTGAACGGAGGCAAGTTCAAGGGGGTGGTGCACGTCGACGCGACCTTGAAGCTGTGGCTGTTCGTGAACGTGTACGGCACGACGCAGGCGATCCACTTGATGACGTGCCCGGAACCGGCGAAGGACGAGGAGAAAGAGTGCGTCGTTTGCTACGATAATGCGATCGAGGCGGCGTTGTACAGGTGCGGGCATACGTGCATGTGTTTCGAGTGTGCTGTGGAGCAGTGGCAGGGAAAGGGGGACGGGCATTGTCCGCTGTGCAGGGCCGTAATTAGAGATGTTATTAGAATTAATAAGTGAAAACCGGTTCGTCTGAATTTTTGACAGTCAGGCGGCATAGTCGACAGTCGACAGTGGCGTGCGGTCGGTGTAGTGTAGGGAGTAAAATCTGCGATGGCGGAGGTAAGACGAAATTAAGACGACGGCAAAAAAAGATTAGACAAGATTAGATAAAACGTCACTTTGTGTACTCTAGAATAATGCATTGTGTTAGCAGATCTAATACTCAAACAAAACAAAAAAAAAGTTAGGGTCGGACACCTGTTAGAGTTTGTATATAATAAAGTTTTCTCCTGATTTCGTCATTGTGTTGTCAACCTAACCTCACACTCATTTCTATTTACAAATATCTCCACTATCTGCTTTATCAGTGGCGGCGTTATCGTCCCGAGTGAAAGCGTATCGATCAATCGTGGTGCGAATATCAGTAAAGTGAGACATGATGACGGAGGTAAGAAAAGAAAAAGCGAAACCTCGACCAAGGTAAACCCGCGAAATGTCAAACTTCGGATTAGCATAAGCTTCCGCTTCCTCTGGTGGGTTTTGTCACTCACCTTGAGGTGTTTCTTTGTGTAGTCGCTTTGTTTTGTCAACAGCGGGTTGTAAAGTTTTATGGGCTTAATTGCGTCGTTTAAATTTTGACATTTTAATTAATGCAGTGGCGCAGTGAGGGTTAATGGTCTAGATTTGATTGGTTGCAAAATTGTGACCGGGTTATTTAAATTTCCTTATCGACGTGTGATAATTGCATCACGTACTCGTGGTAACTATTTGAAGTGGGTTTCGATCAAGAACCAGATGGTTTTAAGTGGTACCTAATTTAACAGTCTAAACTGGAGGTCAATGTCGTCCTAAATTTTTCTATTAATTCGATTTGGCTGATCCTACTTGGAACGGTTAAGAGCATGATGTCATTAACTCCACCAAGTGTTAATTACATATTTACTTAAATAAAACACATCAGAAGTACCTAGTCACCGGGCAAAAAAAAAACACACCAAGATACCTTGAAGTGTGAATTTTCGTTTCGCATCAGAGATTTATTTGTTTGTTCTGGATTAAACAGCCAAAAATAGTACAGTTACAACAAACAGATCCTAACTGTCATCCACATTGTAGTCAATTAGAGTGAAATTAGTGATAATTGACCTGCTTGACGATTACCATACTGGTAGTGTGGCTACTACATGGACGTTTTCCTGTTTTCATTGACATTTTTTTGACGTTTGACATTTTTTGCAAATCACGGTCGACGTGTTAAACAAATCGTCAGTGGGTGCAAATTGCTACAAAAAATATTAGTCACACGAATTTTTCAAAATTTTTCGCGCGGGTTCGAATGTGGTCATAACAATTGTACGCTTTCTTAGAAGCTGTCGAACGTGCAAGTAATCTGAAGCGGAAATCACTTGTGTAGTTTTCAAGGGGAGTTGAAGTACTTCGTTCGAGTTGTTTATCGTTGAGATTAGGTCAGGAATTTTGAAGTGCCTGTGTATTTAATCAAAAGTAGTCAAAATGTGCAAACACGAATTCAGATCAATCGCTTTTAATTGCCTTTATTCGTGGAAATTCGAAGGATTTAGTTGCCATATAAGTAATAACCTGATAAGTACATTTATAGTTTTACAAAGCGATTGTTAAAATTTAATGAACGAAAAAATTCCTTCGGCATCCGGCGAATAATGCAATATTTTTTACTGTCCTCAATTAAGACATTTTTTTAATTCTCGTTAGTTTGTGTGATATAAACATTAAAACAAATCACAAACTTGTTTCCACGCAATCGCTTAAAATATTCCCCTTGTAGATAAATGTCGATAACTTATAACATGTTTATTATGAGGAAAAAAACACAGTGAATAGGTCATGTTGTCACGTTATTTTTAATATTTATTGTAATTTGTTGTTTATTATTTAAATATGTATTAATAAGTGTGGCGGATGTGAATGCGGGGTTCTACAAGGTTCTTGCCTCGGACCCGTTCCTTTTCCTCTTTACGTGAACGATCTAATTGACTTTATAAATTACTTGGTTGAGAAGGCTAATTGGGCGCCCCCGACGAGCCGCCACTGCGTACTACGAAGTTATTATTTCGTTAATTATTTATAAGCGACGGAAACCTGAGGCTTTGCGTGGATTCTCGTGACATGATAGAAATACGAGAGCGAACTTAGGAACTTTCCCGAGGTGTTATAAATTTGTTATTTATTTTAATAAATTTGATTTATTTGAGGGATGGATTTTATTTTTCTCTTCATTGTTCTTTGGATCAGATGTGTTCGGTGTAAATCAGTATTTGGGTTCGAATAAATGTTCTTTTTAGGGTGAAACAAAAAATTTTAATGTCAAGTTCAAGAAATCGGTAAAAAAAGGTTGTTGTGTTTATAACATAGTATTTATGACTGGAAGAATTACGATTTAGGGGTTATGATGAGTCGGAAAACTCGTGGACATCTTCCGGAACTCGGAACCTTAATTAAGTAGTAAATCTAGTTCCCATTTAAAAACATTTTGTGAAATTATAATTCTGGGTTTATTTTAAGTAAAAACTTTAAACTGAGATTTCACAATGTTGTTTATTTTTTCCATTTTAGATTTTTCGACTCTTTGCAAATTTTAGTTTTTCGTTTTTTCAATGTTTGGATTTCTAAATTTTTAGAATAATAATTGTTAATTTTTCGATTTTTCAATTTTTCAGGCTGTCGATTCTTAATTTTTCGTTGGTTTGGTTTTCAATTTCTTTATTTTTCAAGTTTTCAGCTTTCGATTTGTCGACTTGTGAATTTTCCGATTTGTCGAAGATGTGGCGGACTACAAAACAACTAGCATTTTAAAATTTTTCAATTCGCAATTTTTATTTGATTTCCCATTTTTTCAATTTTCAAACTTTCAGTAAACAATAGGAAAACTGAGAAATTGAAAAATCGAGAATTCCAAAAATTGAGAAATTCCGAAACCGAATTATCGAAAAACTGCAAATACGAGTATAAAATAATGGAGAATTTGAATCATCTTGAACAATCGAAAAATTGAAAAATCGATAAAATAGAGAGCTGAAAAATTGAAAAAATCGAGAAGTCGAGACATCAAAAAACCGGCAAGTCGACGTCGAAATATCGAAAATTCGAGACATTCAAAAATCGAAAAGTCGAAAAACGAAAAAAATTGAAGAATCGAACAATTAAAAAGTTAAAAAAAGCCAAAACTAAAATATGGAAACATCGAGAAATAGGAAAATTGAAGAATCGGAAAATTGAAAACTCCCAAAATTGATACAACCGAACTATTAAGAAATCGAAAAATAGAAAATTCGGAAAATTAAAGAATCGAAAAACTGAAAAATCGAAAAGTTGGGAAATTAAAAATTCGAATAATCGGGAATCGAAAAAACGGGAACTCGAAAAATCGTCAAGTCGGAAATCGAAAAACTAGGTCACGAAGCTGAAAAATAGGGAATTGTAAAACCGAAGAATTGAAACAACGAAAAATTGTAAAATCGAAAAACCCAAGAATTGAAAAAACGAAAAATTGTAAAATCGAAAAATTGTAAAATCGAAAATTGTAATACATTGTGAAAATTTGCAAAAAAATGAAAAATCCTCAAAATACCAAAAATTGGAAAGTGAAAACATTGTAAAATCGGAAGATGAAAAACCAAAAAATTAAAAAATCGAAAATTATAAGACTGAATAGGTACTTAATTGCGAATTCAAAATCTCAGAATCGAAAAATTAAAAATTTTTAATCTGAGAAACCGAGAAATTGAAAAAAAGAAAAATTTTATAATCAAAAAATCGTAAAATCGAAAATTAAGACAATCTTGCAAAATCCAAAAATTATAAAACAAAAACTTGAGATACCGAAAATTCGAAGAAACAAAAAACTGAGGAAGCCCAAAAATTGCAACATAGTAAAACTGTAAAAAAAAAACCAAAATTGAAAAACTGAAGATTGAAGAAAAACACTGAAAATTAAAAAAAAATGGAGAAACTGAAAATTGAAAAAACGAATTATAAAATTGTAAATATGAGAAAATTGCAAAAAATTGAAAAATCCAGAAATTGAAAAATTGACAAAATCTAAAAATTTATATGTAAATCGAAAAACTGAAAACTCGAAACATTAAAAATCGAAAAATTGATAAAGTTAAAACCCAAAAAAGTAAAAAAACGAGATCTTGCAAAATCGAAAAGTCGTAAGACCTGAAAATGCAGAAGATTCAAAACTCCAAAAATTAAAAAATTAAAAAATTGTAAAATTTAAAAAATCGAAAATTTGAAGAGTCCCAAAAAAGAAAAATCGATTAAATAAAGAACTGAAAACTAAAAAATCGAAAAGTCGAGAACTCGAAAAACCGAAAAGTCTAAAAATCGGAAATTCGAGAAATTGAAAGATCGAAAAGTCGAAAAACGGAAAAAATTGAAGCATCGAACAATCAAGAAGTTAAAAAAGTCCAAAACTAAAATATGGAAATATCGAGAAATAGAAAAATTGAAGACTCGTAAAACTGAAAACTCCCAAAACGGATACAACCGGACAATTATTAAGAAATCGAAAAATTGAAAATTCGAAAAATTACAGAATCCAAAAATTGAAAAATCGAAAAGTTGAGAAATCGAGAAACCGAAAAATCCATAAGTCGAATAATCGGTCGTCGAAAAAATGAGAACTCGAAAAATCGCCAAGTCGGAAATCGGAAAACTAGGTCACGAAACTGAAAAATCGGAAATTGTAATATTGAAAATTTGCAAAAAAAATTAAAAATCCCGAAAGTCCCAAAAATTGGGAAATGAAAACATTGTAGAATCGGAAGATGAAAAACCAAAAAATTAGAAAATCGAAAATTATAAAACTGAATACTTAATTGCTAATTCAAAAAATCGTAAAATCGAAAATTTAGACAATCCAAAAATTGAAAAATGAAAAAATTATGAAATCTAAAAACTTCGGATATTGAAGATTCCAAGAAACAAAAAACAGAAAACCCAAAAATTGCAATATTGTAGTAAAATTGTAAATTAAGAAAACATCAAAATTGAAAAACTAAAGATCGGAGAAAAATCGAGGAACTAAAAAATTGAAAATTTGTAATCGAAAAAATCAAAAGTCGAAAAATTGATTATCGAGAAATTGTAAAATTGACAATTCAAAAAATTGAAAAATCGAATAAATGAAGTACCGAAAAATTGCAAAAACCGAATAAATGAAACAGCGAAAATTTAGAAAATCGAAATTTTGTAAAATCGAAAAATTGGAAGTTCTAAAAAAATTGGAGAAGATTAAAAAATCAAAAATTTCAAAAATAAAAAAATTGAGAAGTTAAATAATAATTAAGGAAACGAAAAATAAACAAAACCTAAAAAATGCAAAACCATAAAATCGGAAAATCAAAAAATGAATATAGGAAAAATCGAAAAATCGAGGAGCTGAACAACAAAAATTTGTAAATCCAGAAACTGAAAAATCGAAGTCGAAAATTTGAAAAATCAAAAAATAGTAAGATCGAATAATTGAAGTAACGAAAATTGAAACATTTAAATTCAAATAACTGAAAAATGGAAAAATTGATAAACCGAAAAATTAGAAAATCGTAAAATTATAAGATCGAATATTTGCGAACTGAAAATCGTGAAAAAAATTTAAAAAAGAATTATAAAATCGAAAAATAAAAAAACCGTAAAATCAATAAGTTGAGAAACCATAAAGTTGCAATTTGAAGATGGTAAAAACTGAAAATTAAAAAAATCATAAATCAAAAGAAATGAAGAAACGGAGAGTTGAATAAAAATTGAAAAATTGAATTTAAGAAATTGACAAATTAAAAAAAAACGAAAAATTAGTGATTGGAAAAATTGTTACCCGAATAATTGGGAATTGAAAAATTGAAAATCGGACAATTAAAAATCGAGAAACCATAAAGTCGAAAAATCTAAAAATTTAAAACGCCAAAAATTGTAAAATTAAAAAATTGCAAATCGAAAAAATTCAAAATCATGAAACTGCAAATCAAAAAATTGAAAAAACGAAAGTTTAAAAAATCGTATAATTGTAAGATCGAATAATTGCGAATTGAAAAAGTGGAAATAAAAAAAATCGAGAGACCCCAAAATTGAAAGAACGAGTTATAAAATCCAAAAAATGATGTCGAAAATTTGCAAAAAATTTAAAAATCCGGAAAATTGAAAAATGAAAAAATTGTAAAATCGAAAAACTTAGAAATGGAAAATTCGTAATTCCAAAAAAACGGAGAAACGGAAAATTGAAAAATTATAAATTAAAAAATTGGAAAAATTGAAAACCGAAAAATTAAAAATCTAGAAACCCAAAAATTGAAAAATCCAAAAATTAACAATCCATAATCTAAAAATTTTCAGTCGAAAACTCTAAAAATTTAAAGGTCGAATAATCAAAATAACCAAAAATTGAAAAATCGAAGAATTGGGAAATCGAAAAATAACTGCGAATGGAAAAATTGTAAAACGAATAATTAAAAATCGGAAACCGAAAAACTGCAAAAAATTGAAAAATGAAAAAATTTGAATTCGAAAAATTGAAAAATCCTAAAATCGAAAACTTTCAAAAGTTGATATCGATCAATGGAAAAATTTAATATGCTATTGTTAAGAGTATTCAACGCCTTAACTTATTAAAATATTAAAGTAAAATTTCTCGCACCCAGTTTCACAAAGTTGTATTTTCTTGTAATAAGTTTTAAACAAAGGAAAGAATGCTAGGAAAAGAGTTGTGTAGTTTACAGTTTACTGTGTTGATAGTATCATGGAAACAATGGAAATTCCAAGATCACCATTTTTCAGAAGAGTTTTGTCTAACAATACACAACTAAACATAACACAAAGCGTATGATAATGGCAGTTTTGTCTCCCCGCTATCAGTCTCATAATCCGACGGAGATATAAATCCGGTTAAAATAGAACAGGATTGCACCATGCGACAACGATAAGAATATTTTGAAAATTCCAAGTAATAACTCTTGTTTTCCCCAGATATAATTTTTTAAGACATGTCTTATATTTTTAAATTAGTTCAACAGGAATAAAATAACCACGCTTTACGACTTTATTCAAAAACAAGCAAGACGCGACCACTCCGACGACGAATCGTAATTAAAACCTTCCCGCACTAAACCCAACCAAGCGAAAGCTTTGTCCTGTATTTTAATTAGAAATATGGAACTTCTCACGCGTCTTAAGGTAGCAACGGAAAACCACGAAAGATAAAAAAATTTTACAACACGAAAATTGCCGCAAATTATGTAACTAATTTGTTTGCGTAATGCAGTGGACCACCAAATCCCGACCTAGCTCAAATCACGTTCTAAACACAGCGACAATTATTGCCTCTAATTTGTTTGGTTGATTGGCTCCGGACAATCGTTTTGCTTTGTCGAGCAGACGGAGATTCGTCCTTGGAGTGCTTTACTTAATTCGTACAAATCGGAACACTACAGTCGTTTCGTTATTTCGCCATTAATCAAACTGTCACGTTCGAGCCACTGGATTTAAAATCATTTTCGCTTAAATATGGGAAATTTTCCACGCTCATTATCATGCTTTGGGAATCGAGGTCGCAACTATAAATGCTCAGTGTGGATGTACGTCACTGCATTATCTGCCCAAATGCAGATTTGGAAACTACTGAATTTCGTTGACGTCATTTCGGTTTAGATAAAAATTCAAATTTGTGTGTTTAGTCAGCAGCGGGTGCTAAAATGGGTATGGAAATGTTTTAGTGCAGTCGAAGCGTCCTGGGTCTATTTACATGTGTAGTATATTTCATATATTAGAGAGTAATTAGTTTGCGCCAAATTAATAAATCATTCGTTTGGGATTGTGGAGAGATTACATAAATTATTGTTGGATTGGTATATTTTTTTGATTTTTTTTTACACAACTCGAGTAAATTCGAATGTTTTAATTACAACCACACAAATTACTCTTTGAATTAAGGTAAAGTCACGAGTTTAGTTCAAAAAAAAAAAAATAGAAAATATCTGTTGTTAAAAATATCCCACGTATTCTGCACATAATTTCACACTTTAACGTTAATTACATTATACATCAAAACCGGCATACTATTTATAGGTTTCTTGACGCCGTGATGAGTCACGTGTGCGTAGCTTCCTCTAGTTTCGCAATATTTCCTACACTGAACCCTAAGCCCCGCCTATTTGTGCTTTTGGACCAATCATGTGCAAGAAACTCGTAGATATGCGATTATGCGGATTATATCAGTAAATAACAGAATTCAAAACAATCGTTTAAATTACACTCAGACTCAGACTGTGATAGGTAGGTACATATGCAGAAAAAAATTTCCAAGCATCAACGTCTAAACCACATATAATGAATTATGTATTTGAAAGTGTGAGTTCAGAATGGACAGGATTTGTTCGTGATAGTCGCATCGGGAACAATAGCACGGTCTATCATGCATTACGATCATACATGCTGTACTATTAGACGGTCAAGGTTGTGCTATTGAAAAGTGTCTGATTATGTCTCGTGAGAGTTCAGAAACACTTCAAGAGATTGCTTTCAATTGTCTTTTCAAATGGGATTCTTGTAGACATAATGATATTTTGACCGATTAAAACAACACTTTCCCAATTATGTGTGTAATCAGTTTTTTGGTTTCTCAAGTTTATCATTTTTTTTATTTTCGATT